TAAAATGAAACCCATGGCTGGCCCCCCAAATCCAAAACAACTTCTCTTTTTATTTTCTCTGTTTTTTAAGATCAGAAACGGGAGCTTTAAGCCTTTTGACACACTCTCTTTCCTATTCTAATTTGCCTTTTTGTTCTCTCTCCATTTCCCGTTCTTATGATTCCAACGTGTTCCATTCTTTCTGGAGGCCAAATCTAGCTACATCCTAGTTTCCTTATTGTTTCTCTTTTTTATTTTAAATCAGATTTCTTCTGTCAGAACCAAACAAATCTAGCCAAACCTTAATCTTGTCACTGTCGTCTTTCCTTCTTTTTTTTTTTTTAGATTTAAGACATATATTTTAATGAAAATTGACAATGCAAGAACTTGAATGAAATGAGTTAGATAGAGTGGGTCTTTATCGAATTCAAAGAAACAAAAAAAAAAAATACCTGGCACTGTGATGTTTGAATTTTTTTGGGCGAAAACCGAAGGAATGGAAGATAGTTCTTTTTGGACCTTGCTGCTGCTGTATCTGTTGTTGTTTTTTTTTAGGTGGAATTCGAGGACGTCCCTTATTGTATTACTGTCTCTATTGATTCTGGGTGAAGCTTGATGAATCGAAAGAATTGAATGAACTGGCGGGGTGTTATTGGAGTTTTCTGTTGCAGGTGTTGGATCGCGGGATCTGCAAAATCATGTGTTTCGTTTGGTTTGGAACGACTGAACGAACACTAGATTGCTTGTGTTCTTGAGAACCTAGGAAACCGAAAACGGGAAAGCCAGAAATCTATTCTGGTAAACCCAGAAATATGAACACTACCAAGAACTTGAAGATGATGAAGCACAGACGAACCCCTAGAACTAAAAGCCTAAGGAACTCGCCCAGAAAACAAAATGCAGAAGAATGCTACTGCTCCAAAGCTCGAAAAATTCTCCCTTTTTTTTTCTTCTCCTTTTTTTTTCTTTTTTTTCTTCTCCTTTTTCTTTTCTTTTTCTTCTTCCCTTTTAGCCTTCGATTCTAACCTCTTTTATATGCACTCCCATTTGAATTCTACTCCAACTCAAACACTTTCAAATTCAGATTTTTACCTAACCTATTTGAACTCAAAATCCTGTTATTGATTTCGAATTTGATTAACTAAATAATTGGGATAAATCAAATTCGAAGAAATCCAAAAACGGTTAGAGGATTAGGATAACTTTCAATCAAATTTTGGAGGGAATCGGGAGTGAAATTCGGGCTAGAGTGAACGACATGTCATTCGTTCAACTTTAGTCCTGTCATTCACTCCGAGCTTCCACTTTGATCCCTGAAAATTTTAATTATTTGCAATCATGCCTATTTGGCGCAATTTCAGTCATGTAAGGAATTTTTTTTCGATTTGGTCCTCACAAATAGCAATTCAAGTATTGAATTTCTTTAACTGATTCAATTATGCCATTGAAGATTTTATATATTTTTTTTCTTTTTTCTTTTTTTTTCTTCTCTTTTTTTCAAAAATAAAATAAAATAAAAATAAAGAAATAAACATTTCAAAATAAAAGCTATTATTATAATTTTTTTCATTTTTTTTTATTTTTTATTTTTGTGATTATGACAATGACAATGAAATAAAATTTATAAATCATTTTCCTTAAAATATCATGTATTCTAATAAAATAATTTTGTAGTAATGAAACCGATAAAGTTGGTCATAATGGATGCCACAAATCACCCGTTTTTCATTGGGAAAAAAAAATCACCCATTTTTTTCAACTCCTCTTGCACGTCAAGCAAATTTCTCTCCAACTTGTGTTTCGATATTTCTCTCGTCAATTATGAAACCAAGCCCCGCGTTTATTCTTGTTAGTTTTAAGTCATGGGCCTTATGATGCCAAGGCGACCAAGCCGATGGGTTCATATAGATTAATTAAAACTTAATCGCTCAAACCGCGAGCACAATAAAACTTGCCCAACAAATTAAATAATTCTTTTATTTTTTTAAATTAAATAGTCTTTTAATTATCATTGACTATTTTAGTTTAATATTACCTTATCAAAAAATAAAAAATAAAAATTCTTCTTCTCTCATCAATATTTCCACCTTATTTACCTATTTTTTCTATTGATTAAAACAAAATAACTAAAAGATAACATGAAATGGTCTAAAATGACTAATGAAATTAGTTTTTGAAATTAAAACACCAATTTAATTTATCTTGCAAAACTATAAAAAGTAATTTGTATTTCTTTTTTACATGTATTAAAATTATAATCATTGACCCATTTATTCTACAGGCTACACCTACCTACCTAGAGTGTTAACGGTGATATGTAAATTGACTTCTCATTTATTTCTTTACTTTCTTTCGGTTGGTCGATTGAAAACGATCCATGTGGACTAGTTTAAAATCATGAAATTGTTAGGAACGATTCAAAGGTAGTATTCTTGATTGAAAATGAAATAACCGAATATGGCTAACGTTGTTTAAATATTGTGACATTCCGCAAATTAAATCGAATGTTATACAAGTAATTTTTCTATATAAATACATGTCAGTTCATCGTTTAAGATTAATAGAATTCATATTTTATTGATTATAGATTGACAAATTAGTTAGTCCGAAAACAAAATAACATTTATAAATCATTTTCCTTAAGATATTATGTATTATAATAAAATGATTTTTATAGTAATGAAATTGATAAAGTTAGTCAAAATGGATGCCACAAATCACCCATTTTTCATCGAAAAAAATAAAATAAAATAAAAATCACCCATTTTCTCTTCTCTCCAATCGTGTTTCGATATTTCTCTCATCAATTATGAAACCGAACCCCGCATCTATTCTTGTTAGTTTTAAGTCATGGGCCTTACGATGTCAATGCAGCCAAGTCAATCGATTCATACGGGTTAATTAAAACTTAATTGTTCAAATGCGAGCAAGGTAAAAATTGCGAAACAAATTATATAATTCTTTTATTTTTTAAAAAATTAATTAGTTTTTTAATCATTATTGACTATATTTAGTTTAATATTACTTTATCAAAAAATAAAAAATAAAAATTCATCTTCTCTCATCAATATTTTCCGTTATTTACGTGTTTTTTTTCTATTCATTAAAACGAAATAAACTAAAAGGTAACATCATATGAACAAAAATGACTAATGAAATTAGTTTTTGAAATTAAAATTTATTTTACAAAACTTGAAAAATTAATTTGCATTTCTTTTTTACATGTATTAAAATTACCAATCTATCATAAAGACTGCACTTAGTTACCTGGAAGTCTAACGGTAATTTATAAATTGACTCTTAATTTATTTCTTTACTTTCTTTCAATTGGCCGGCTAAGAACGATCCATATTGGCTAGCTTAAGATTATGAAATTGTAAAAAATGATTGAAAGCAAGTACTCTTAGTTGAAAATGAAAATACCAAATATGGCTAACATTGTTCAAATATTATAACATTATTCAAATTAAATCTAATGTTATATAAATAATCTTTTATACAAATACACGTTAGTCAATCATTTAAAACTAATAGAATTCATATTTTATAATTTTAAGCTAACAAGAATAATTTATAAATAATTTTTTTTATCAATTATAGATTGACATATTAGTTAGTATGAAAAAAAATAAAATTTATAAATCATTTGCCTTAAGATATTATGCATTATAATAAAATGATTTTGTAGCAATGAAAACGATAAAGTTAGTCAAAATGGGTGCGACAAATCACCCATTTTTCATCGGAATAAAAAATAAAAAATAAAAATCACCCATTTTCTTCAACTCCTCCATGCACGTCAAGCAAATTTCTCTCCAGCTGTGTTTCTGATATTTCTCTCGTCAATTATGAAACCGAGCCCCGCGTCTATTCTTGTTAGTTTTAAGTCATGGGCCTCATGATGCCAGGGCAGCCAAGCCCATTGGTTCATACGGAATCGCAGGCACGGTAAAAATTGCGAACGCTTCTAGGATATTTCAGGTAAGACGGCTTAGTTGGAAAATCGCGTGACAGAAAAAACCACGTCATTGGTTAACTTAACCATTATCTACAGACACACTGGCAGTCTCGCAATAAAACCAAACTCTCGAGGTCTCATTCTTCAAATAAAGCTGCTTCCCCATTTGGTCATTATCTTTCTTCGGTTCCTTACTTCAGCCTCGAAGGGAAAAAAGAAAAAAGAAAAAGAAGAAAGCTGTAAAGAATTCCATGGTCAGATCTCGCGATCAAACTCTAAACCCTAAAATTGCATTGTATACTCCTGCGATTTAATCAGGTACTCTTCCTTCTCAATGCTTATACAATCAGTGGTTATGTATCTTAATAATGTATAAAGATCAACTGCATTCTTCACTCTTCTTTTTTCTTCGTATTGAGTTGACAAATTTTTAATCGCACATCGGCTTTATTCTTGCTCCCTTCGCTGCAACTGCTAGTTGTAGGAGTATTGACTTTATTCTCTCTTCTTACTAGTATTCTTAATTTTTAGTTTATTGTATTTGATTATCGACTAATTTCAGATTTCCGGCAAGTTGAAGCGAGAGTTTGAGGTCATTACAAGTAACATGTTCAATAGTTCCAATTCTGTTTCTTTTTCTTTTTGTTATTTGGTCAAGAATCTTTAGTTGTAGTGTCTTCTAAGGTTATTATTGACACGGAGTAATTAATAATCGGGGGCTACTTAGTGCGCATGATCTTGCATGTGAAACATATGCAATGACTCCACGAATTCACTCGAGCACGTCTTTGAATTCATGCATACATGTCCACTAATTCATACCTGTGTAAGCTCTCATAGCACAATTGTAGCTCCTGCAACTGTGCTGTTAAGTTTATTTTTTTCTGGTAACTAAGTTACGTTGTTTAAACTTTGGAGCAAAGAGACATACTTGACTTAGTGATTCCCATTTCTGTGTAAACAGAATATCAAGATTGCAAAAAGGGATGGCCTGAATTGGTCAACTGTATCTTTTTTATGGAATTGTGAAGTTTTGATTGTTTTGACAAGTATAGTGGGAAGCATGAACATTGTTAAGGGTGTGGCCGATCTCATCCGAAGGACATCCAGTGGTCAAACTGGAGAGTCCACTCAGGGGTCATCAGCTGAGAGATTTTCTCCTCCTTCTCCAAAGATCTGCTTCAGGTGCTTGCAACTAGTCTGAATCTTTGCAAGCTTATTGTGATTTGGATTTTTCTTTTCTTTGTTAAGAGTTGGGGATTCTTATTAAAGTGGAATGAAAGCACTTCAAATTTTAGAATTTTTTTTTTGTTTTCACTGTTATATTCTAGAAATCAGTTAAGGAAGGCCCCAAGGGAATACTGCAGATTTATGAGACAGACTACCAGTCATCCCTTGTTTAAAATGCACATCATATAGACTAAATTCAGAACGAGCAATCTATAAAACTTAAGAACACTTTATTAGCAAAAACTCCCTACTATCCTACGAGTATACCCGAAAATTGTTCAAAGATTTGAGAATAGATTCTTCCACCTCAAAAACTTTTTGGTTCTGTTCTTTCCCAAAATATTGAGCTATGCAATTCCATGTCTTTGTGATTCTTATGATTGTTCTTGTATAAAAGCCATTATCCTCCTCTACAAGCCCAAAGCAATCCTGTATATCTAATTTTTTATTATTTGTGCATATATTATGTTAAGATGCTGATTGTAACTTGAATTTTTGGAAAAAGAAGTAGAAGCATCGGAATGCCTACCTCTTTGCTCGTTAAAAATAGCAACAGCAGTTTGCTAGAGAAATAAGGTATAGTAGGACGAGGAGATTGCTTAGCGTATGGCCCTAGTTTGGAACTATTTATATGGTGGATTTTTTTTTCCTTTTTATAAATAATTTGACAATGGATTAAAGTTATACTCTCATAGTCTCATCCCTGTGTCTGCTTCCTATTTCCTAGACAGTATAAGTGGTAATATACAACTTTTCAAATATACCTGCTACTATTTTGATTAATGACTCAACTGTTTTCAAGTGCAAGTGTTAACAATTTTTCCATGAGACCTTAAGCTTTGTTACAACATCTTTGGAGTGCTATGGCATATATTTTCTATACCTAGTTTTTTCCCATAGAATTTCCCTTTCTCAAAAAGCAACTGCTGGTCACTCTATTTGATCTTCGTACATTTTGTCCATCTTATCAGCGAAGTAGGTGATGAGGCAGTTTTACATATGCTTTGGGAGAAATACAAGAATGCTGTTGATAAGGTATGCTGCCAGTATCATGACTGTACATTTCTTTTTCGATTAAACAATTTGGTGTCTTTCCAACTTCCATTACTGTATATTGTGTTGCTTGAAGTAATGTGATATGTAAATTCATCTGTCATTTCCTTTCTTCCTTGAAACAAAAAGATTTTGTTTTTTTAATCTATGCACAACATGATTAACTTGGAGGAACCCTTTTCTATCTGTTGATGGTACACGACATGTAATGAATCAATAATTTTTTTATGTTTTGTGTAAAAACGATGTTTATTGTGTATTTGGAACTTTACTATCTCCTAATTCTTCAGTTAAAAATAATGAAGGTTTTCTATCTTGATAGAGGCTGAGCTGGCGCTTGTTGAAAGTAAATGGTTGTGTTTGTTCGTTGTAAAACTGATTTATCAAAAGTAAAGCATATATGTTTGCTTGTGTCCATATCATGTTCTTTGTTGATGTTCTGCCAAAAAAATAAAATAAAAAATAATAATAATTTATTGATGGGAGGGGTAAAGAAATGCTTGGTCTGTGTTTGAAATTTTATTTGCTTTAGCAGGGGAAGTCCATATTTTTAACAAAACAAACTATTAAAAGGAAGTTAATTTCTTGAGGTGTCATGTGTAGCAAGCTGCAGACTATCATGCATACACTATAATTGTTTTTTAGTTTCTAAATAAAATGGACTTATGTAAAGTCATGAATAGTTTTGTTTGCACATTGTTGTATATATCTTTTTTTTGCCATCATCTGGTGAGTTGGGAGGTTTGTTGTAATCCAAGAGTTAAGGGGGATAGGGACTGGGTAATTTGGTGCAGAAGAATATGGCCCTTGTACAGACATGTTTGTGGCACTTTCCCTTAGAACCGGATTCCTGTGGCACAAAGTAGTTTGTAATGTTCGTGGTGCCCATGCTATTGGCTGGGATGCCAAGCTTGGATCAGCTGTCTCAGACTTGAGCCATTGGAAGTTCATTTCACATGTTTTGGGAGGATTTGTGGTTAGGAGAAACTCTTCTTTCTGTTTCCTGTCACGTCCTTATTACCTTTCCAGTTTGCATAATGCTCTTATTTCACGTTTTTGTTCATTGGAGAGGGATAACCTAGATTGGAATTTTCATTTTTTCTGGAATCTTACTTATAGAGAATCAGAGGATCTCCTTGATTTACTTCCTACTCTTAATTCTTTCTCTTGACTAGGAAATCTGATTGTAGAGTTTTGGCTTTGGAAGGCTCTGGTGCTTTTCTTGCATGTCTTTCTTTTCCAAATTTCCCAGGACCCTAACCCTCTACCTTCTTCTTTGTCTTATCGTAAATGGAAAGCCAAGTTACCCTCTAAAGTTTTGGCCTTTTATCTGGATAATGGTTCTCAACGTAATTAATATTAATGATTTTTGCAAATAAGAAGGCCTCATAAAGCTTTATCTTCTAATATAATTTGTGTTGTGTGTCAAGAAATTGATGAGTTTCGTACTCGCTTATCTTTACATTTCCCCCTTGTGAGAGATATGTGGTGCAGATTGCATGTTTATGGTGGAGATTCTTGGGTATCACCTCATGCAGTGTCAGATTCACGTAACCTTTTTTGTGGGCTTTTTTTTTTTTTTTTTGGGTTGGGGGGGGGGGTTGTAAGACTTGGTGGTTGTTCCCTTTGTGCTATTCCATGGTGTATCTTGTAAGAGAGAATTGCTTGAATTTTCAAGACCAGTACACTTCGAGAAAATTGTTGTGGGGTAGGACTTCTTTTTTGTATCATGCTTCAGGTGCTCTGAGGGAGTTTCTTTAGCTGATATTCAGCAGGATTTGGCTGCTCTTTTATGATATTCCATTTGTTTCTTTTTTAGGGAGGATGACTTATTCACAATCAAGCTTTTGTAATTCCTTTTGCTTTCAATAAAATTTTCTCGTCTAAAAACGTTTGTTTCCCAATCACTATTTGTAGGTCACAAAGAAGAAGTGTTTTCATGTCTTCCTCAAGCAATTTCTAATGGTATTTGAGAAATGGGAACCTGCTAATGCTAGCCGGTGGCCGGAGGCTGCATCAACAACCGTGCCTCCTGTGGAGAATCCATTGCGGACTGATGATATAATTGTTGGCTGCTCTGCTGGACACCCTGCAGAAATCATTTTTGTGTTGACTGAAGAGATCACGTGGTTAACCTCTCTGGTTTCTGAATGTAAGTTAAGTTTCTACCTTGCCGTGGAAGATTGCTATGCGGTTTTATTGATAAAATACTGCTGGCGAACTGGTTGATAATAGATCCTGATTGCTGATGTTTTGTTTGGTGTGCAGTCAAGGGCCTATTTAGCTGTACAGGTTAAAAAATGAAATTCTAATTTGCTCGATGAAGAAACTGGTCTAATATAGTAATTAGAGTTTACTTTTTACTATCAGCACTAATTTTCTTTTTTAAATGACTAGTCACTGTTATGATGACCCGAACAAACTCAATCCAGTGCGAAGAAATTAATTCATCACAAGATATTGGGGTCATTTCCCTTCTAAAACCTACAAGCTGCATCAATTGACCGTTCTTAGGATCATTAATTGCTTTCCAAAATAAGTAGAAAAGTCTGTTTAACACACCTCACGACACTCTAAGAAGCTGTGTATCCTCTGTCATTTTATAACAGAAAACACCAGATGACAGAATGTTTTGAGTCCTCTCATGTAACAGGTCACTGGTATTAACTTATTAAGAACTAATGGTTAAAAAAAGGTGCTAACTTATGATGATACCATGATTTTCTAAATATGATTGATTGAGATGAAATTCATGAAAAACTCTCGTAAGTTTGTCATTGAAGACATCGAATGGCAACATTTTAATAAATTCAATGCTAGATGGCAAAAACATATTCTTGCCTTTCTTTGTTTTTTTTCATTTATGAAGAATCTCAGAGCACAACATTGCAGAATACGTTGCTCATTTACAGTTGTCCTCATTGATAGAATTTATGCACAATCTGTAGTCCATCAGTTTTTAATCATTGTTATTACTGTCGCCTTAGTAAACCAGTTGACTGCATCCTCTCATGGCCTATTGTGGCAAAGCTTGGCATTTCTTGTACTGTTTTCATCATCCTACAAGTTATTGGCAATGTGACACTTGTGCATCCTTCCTTTTGGAAATTTTTTGATGATCTCTCAATTTTAAGGTTTGATAATGGACACCTCGGTTAAGGTAGTCCGTGTTGCTTGATTATTACTTTCCTCTTATTGACCTTTTCCATATTGATTATTTCCTTTTTCCATGTTTCATAATTTTTTTTAATTGTAAATCCAGTAAATACCAGTGTGGTGCACTCCAGAGTGGACTTGCCAGGGGATTCCACAAGTTTGAGTATCACTTCGGAAGGGCTGCCAGTATTGAATGCTTTAACAATAATCACTCGTTCACTACATAATTGCAGAGTTTTTGGATACTATGGTGGGATTCAAAAGCTAACTGCATTAATGAAAGGTACACATAATGTTTGCTTCTCTTGCTATTTTCTTTGATGTGATGGTTTTTTGGTTGTATTGACATCTGATCGCTGTCAGATGCATTCTCAATTAGGTTCTTTCATTGGTTTTAGTAGGGAGATACTGTCTCTCCCTTGATGCCTGTTATCTGAATTTATTGTCCACGACTCTGAATACTGTCCTTTTGTTTCTAGAGTAATTATTACTGTAGAATTTGAAATATTGTGCCCATTTTTTATTTTTATTTTATTTTTTATTTATTTATTTATTTTTTTTCATTTCAGGGGCTGTTGTCCAACTCAAATCAATAACAAGTGCACTATCTGGCGATGAGAATCTATCTAACATTTTTCTAGATAAGACCAGACTTTTGCAACAAATACTTGTGTATGTGGTGTCCATAACATGCGGTTTCATTGATTTAAATACAAATTTATATGAGAAAGCACAGTTGTTCAGCAGCTCTGCAGAGTTTTCTGCCCCAAGTTGGGGTGCATCTTCCAATGATTCTTCTAGTAGCATGAAGGTTCCTACTGAAACAGGGCTATGTTGGCATCAGAGGGCAGTTGTGTCAGTGATGGAAGCTGGTGGTCTTAATTGGTTAGTAGGTAAGGTAGGCGCTTTTAGGATCTTTATACATGTTCACTTGACTTGATAAAGCACAGAGAAAAGGATGCTTCTAAATTGGTTTAGTAATTATTGTCTATGAACTGAAAAATGAAAAGCATAGATGTGTCATGAGGTTGCTCCTGTATATATCTCAAGGAAAATGTTTTTTGTGGATATAAATACAAATACACACACACACACACACACACATATATTCTTGGCATTTCTCCTCATTTATGTTGAGCAGGTGCTGGCTTTTAGTCATTTTCTGTCTTTGTTTTTCATATGGCTTCCTTTAGTGAATGAATATTTCACTTCTTTAATTCCGAAATGTTTAAGCACGCATAATATGCTGTTGGGAAATTTCTACAACATTGAAATCTGGCATTTAAACAACTGACAGTATGCATCTGGAGAGTAATGTGGTTGGTTATATTTAAGCTCTGATTATGACTACATATGGTCATTTTCTAGTTGAGCAACTTATGGGGCAGGGTGTCGAATCTCAGAGCTTTTTGGTTGGGAAGGGCGAGGATTACAAGATTCTTTGGATTTATTGCTATTACAGTGGAATGGAGTCTGTAGATGGAGAGGAATGTCATAAATTTCTGTCCAAGCAATGGAATATAGTAGTTCTTTGAAACCTTTCCATATGGATCCATACCTGTGCTTCTAGCTAATCTTCAATAGGATCGTGAAGCTCTTTTATTGTTTTTTTTTTGCTCTCATTCTGGAGGATTTCTTAAATGTATATTTGAATTTTTAATATATTATCACCTTTTCTTGCATAATAAAATATTCTTTTTTTTTTGAAAAAAAAAGAGTGAAAATCCTGAGACTATCTTCGGGCATCCCACTTAAGTCATCATTTTTTGTAGGTGACTTGAACTTAGTATATCCCACCAATCAATCCTGATGGAAGAACCTTCTTATGCCACTTTTCTAAGATCCACAATTAAATTAGTATTCTTGATGAAGAATTTATTCTTATTTGCATTCAACATTCCATATAGCGCACCACAACTAGTTAGGGATTGAGGCTTGGTTGTTGTTGTATTCAACATTCCTTTCACAGAATTTGTTTGTGCTTCAGAACTGTTGCGAGTCATCAGAAGGTTGATCATGAAAGAACAATGGACAGATTTGTTACTTCAGCACTTGACTTTGTGGACCCTACATCTAGCATTATCTGAAAATCCACGTGGTCAAAACCATTTTAAAAGCATCGGAGGGCTTGAAGTTCTGTTGGATGGACTAGGACTTCCATCAATTAATGTGCTATTGTTGAGGAATGCCTCTCATTTTGGTGAAAAGAGGTAATTATTTTCATGTTAGGATATTAGAATCTGATATTATGGCACTTTTTTTTTTTTTTTTTGAAAACTTTGATGATAGGCAAGCAACATTTTTTTTCTGGACTGATGATGGCATGCTATGGTTGTCTGGATCTTTTCGACGATGTCAGTTTTAATTCTTAAGATAAAATAAAATAGATACTCTATTGGAAGTTTGGTTCCAAGGTAAAATAGAAAATTTTCAATCCTGTTTTTTAATTTTTTGATCACCGGAATGCCCAAAAGTCAATATGCAGTGCATATCTAGGTAGTATTTTAATGTCCTCATCCAGTTGATAGTATCTGAAGAATGATGTTTCAAATTGGTCTTACTTTCGTTTTTTTTTCTTTTCATAATACAAGAAAAAAATGGAAAATGAAACGCATTGGAGAGGATAAGGCATCCTTCAAATTAGTGCTAAATTTACTGAAAAAGGTTTTATGCATTTCCCATTTTTTGGGATTTTAGTCAAATGTGTTCTCCACTTCGCCTAAACAATGCCGAAGCAGAACAGTATAAAGAAGTTAAAGGCCATACACTGGTAAACTTATCTTGTCTGAGCTAGCTATTCTAATACGGTTTGGCTTGCTGAAATTTGCATTTGCCTGGAGAGAATAGTGGGTGGGGATCGTTGGAACTTCTATTGATCGTTTCTTTGCTCTAATGTCTGAAGTGGTTATGATTTTTGGTTAAGGCCCCAAGCCCCTCATTTTCTGATATCTTAATTCACTGCTCTCCCCCTCTCGCTGTGTGTGTGATATGGTCTTCTGTATGAATTTTTCAACATTAGTTAATTTCACTGCTAAAGCATTCTTGCTGCTTGCATTGGCAGTATTTCACTTACAAAACTATGGTTTCAAGACTGTTAGAAGTTTAGCAGTATTGCTGCTTGCTGTAATTGGCAACGGCAAGCCATCAGATGCTGTTTTGCCGATTTAGTTATTCATTTCTTTTCCATCTTGAAATGTAATGTTATGGTTGTTTTGGTTTCTTGCATATGCTTTTGTTTTAAGTTGAACCTTTGGCTTCACTTTGTTGTGCTCACCATCTTGCATGCTTTGATATAAGGTTTTTATTTTATTGCAGAGAAGAGAATCCCTTGCTGAAAATATTCCAGTTACATTTACTGTCTTTGACAGTTCTAAGAGAGGCTGTGTATCCTTCAAACCATGCATTCGTGTTGATTTAATTTTCTATATCGCTCCTTTAATGAAGAAGGAAGTTTAATATCTTGCCTTGAAGTGAATATGGATTACGGGTGCATAGTCCTTCCCAACTTCATTTATATGATGAAAAAGATAATTAGGCTTTAAGTTGGTACTTCAATTTCAGGAAATTATGAATTCTAAATTGCATGGAGCATATTCTTTGATGAAGCAAAAAACTAGAAATTAAAAAAAAAAAAAAATCACGAAATCCTCCTTTTTTCAAAGGAAAAATTGGCCATTGTTTATCACATCAGGGCTAGGCTCGTAGGAGTTATCTCAATCTCTGGCTCAGACCTACCATTTATGTTTCTTGTTCCAAAAAGTGAAAAAGAAGAAATTCAATTTTCTTATTCCTCAATATTTCTGTTATCAGTTACGTACTAAAAATTCTTAATGCCCTTGACAAGTATTCAGCTTTGGTAATATGAACAACTTGCAGTTCCTATGTGAAAATGGAAGAATTCATAAATTTGCAAATAGCTTTTGTTCACTTTCCTTCTTGCTTCAAGAGAATGAGCAGAAAGCAAAGGATTTGTCCGTACAGGATGATTCCCAAATGGCCTTTTTGTGACTTGGAAAATGTGAATCATGCAAATATGGAACGAACCTTTCCGCTTCCAGCTGATGCTTCTTATTCTAAAATTTGGAATGAATATATTGTCAAGTTGAGTGGGGTACTTTGTTCTTTCATCGTTCCTCCTGAAAATGATAAACCTCACCATGTCCAAGCAAACACTGGTCGAATTGGAATGCCAATTTCTGCAGCATATGTTGAACTTTCAATTAAGTGGCTTGTGGGGGTTCTTCGTACAGTCTTTCCATGCATCAGGGCTTGCTCGAATCAAAAGGAGTTGCCTAACCATTTATGGTGATGATTCAGATTGTATTCTGTGTTATTTCCCTGTATTATTGTTAGAAAATTTTGGGCATCAAATAGAATTTTGTACATAGTGCATGTTCTTTCTCATGGTTCCCTCATTTTTCCTTTGCTTGTTTATTTTGCAGGGTCTTTGCCAATGTTCTACAGCACTGTGTTCTTGACGCCTTTAAGAAGGTTCTTGTTTCATCACCTGTATCACTTGAAGCATTCAGGGAAGAGGGGATATGGGACCTTATCTTCTCTGAGAATTTTTTCTATTTCGGACCAGAATCAGAAGAAATGGCTGGAGAGTGTTGCAGTTACAATCAAGGGTTCCCAGGACAGCATGGCAGAAACTTGCCCTCTAGTAGCATCACCAATCAAACAAAGATTAGTAGTTTTGAAATCCTTCAGATGGAGGTGATTTCATTTGTGGAATTTGCAGCAACTTGCAATGGAATTGTGGATAACGTGGTAGGTTTTTGTTTCATTCACTTGTTGATACTCTTTTTGACAAAATATTGAATAGTTCTTTTAGATTGATGTTTTATTTCTTACATACTATTTAATAAGAAACAAGTTTGAATTTAGTCCGACTCGAATTAGCTGGTAAGACGTTGTAAATTGAGGACGTGTTTTGGAAGATATTGGGGACATATCAAACCATTTGTCATTCCACTGTCATCTTTTAGATATGGTCAATGCTTTTCTCAGTTTTTGGGATAAGTTGAGTAGTATCATCTTCAGTGGTTAAGCTTTGTGATCCATGTTGTGGGTAGGGAAAAAGTAACATAAAATGGCCATTGTTCCTAACTTATAATTTGTGACATCGTTTTTTGGAGTGAAACAGTGTGGTCTCAATAGGGTGAAGAATCCTTTTGAAGACAATTTGTCTGCGATTATCAATGTCACAAAATTGTTCTCATCTATTTCTTTTGGAATCCATTGATGTTTTAGATTTTAGCTTTGTTGTTGTGGTGTTTCTTTCATAGGGGAGTCACATAGAAAGGATGCTCCATATGTTTGGTGTTTCTCTGTATAAACAAACTTGCTTATGAAATAAAAATTTTGAATGTTTGTTGAAGAGGAGAACAATGCTATATCGAGGTGTTTTGTTATCTGGGTTTTCCAAAGGCCATATCCATTATAAGTTGATAAACTTGGTAGTTTTGCATTTTTCATGCTAGAATTTGCTTTTCTTTCTTGCAGCCTGAGGTGTCTGTTTTATTGGATGCCTTTGAACAATGTGCATGTCATCCTGACATTGCCATTGTTCTCGCAAAGAGTCTACTACATATATTGCAGCTTTCGCCTGAGAAAACTATCGACTCCTTCAAGTCTCTAAATGCAGTTTCTCGGGTCCTCCAAGTTGCATGTATCCAATCTGAAGAGTTTCGAAGGTCTGGAAATATAAGCCCTTCTCTTGAGAGTAAATTAGCACCACTTTGTAGCGATCAGAGACCTGATTCAGAAAAGATGGCCCAGAGTTGGTTTGCATGCATGGATACATGCATGATGCTCTTCACAATTTTTTTTTCAATAGCAGATGATGCAGGGAGTTTGGTTTTGTGTGATTGGACTTGCATCGATTGTTTGTTTGATCTATTTTGGGAAGAAAGCATGAGAAATCGTGTGTTTGAGCACATCCTTGACCTCATGAAGGTGCTTCATCGTACTTCATGTTTGCTTGACAGTTTCTTTGTTGTCACTGTCAAGGCAACTGAACTTAACCTTTTTCCATCTTGTCAGATAGTTCCATCATCTTTGGAAGCTCAAAAGGCAAAGTTGCATCTGTGTTCAAAGTATTTAGAGACGTTCACTCAAATAAAGGAAAGGGAGACAAGTTTTGCAGAGCTGTCTATTGATCTATTGGTTGGCATGAGAGAGATGCTCATGACTGATCCTGCTGTATGTATTTCGCAGAAGTGATATTGATTGCATAGAGCTTATTATTGTTGCTATTATTCTTTTCCTATTCGTGGGGCTGTTGTTGGGGGTGGGGGGTGTATTCGATGAGGATTTTGCTCTTGGGTGGTTACAATGTCTAACCAGGTATTTGTTCTTTCAGTACTATCAGGCCTTGTTTCGTGATGGCGAATGCTTTTTGCATGTTGTCTCATTACTAAATGGTAATCTTGATGAGGTGAATGGAGAGAAGTTAGTTCTAAATGTCCTTCAGACTCTGACCTGCCTCCTTGAAAATAATGATGACTCAAAGGTAACCCCTTTTTCCTGCCGTTATTTTATGTGTTTCTATTATCGTCTGATCTTCCTTCATCGTACCCTTGTAAATTGTCACCTTGGATTCTATGAATGATAGACTTCAATTGAAAGGCTGATGATTTTAATGGAGAATGATTTGATAAGAAATGATATACATATTTGTTTGTTGTCCATTTGGTAATTACAGATATTATGTCTATTGGTAATTGCAAATATTGTGAACATGTGCATTCGTGCTGTTGCATTTGCATGTATTTTTGTGTGTGTGTGTGTGTGTGTGTGTGTGTGCGTGTGTGCATGTGTAGATATGGATGACGTTGCATAATTATAAATTATCGGATGAATGGGCCTCGTGCTGAATTGTATGCTTGTTTGTGGTTGGGAACTCCATCATCATGGGATGGTAGATGTGGGAGTCAAGTAATTTGGTATGGGCAATGAAGAGCAATGGTTGCAGTAGTAAGATGAGCATATAAAGGGAAATAGAGCTAACCTGGCTGTTGGGACTTGACTATAGTTTAAAAGGTTTTGCTGCTTGGTATGATATTTTAGTAAATATATCCGTCATCAAAGTGGGGCTTGATACAAGTCTATTCATTCAATTATTTGGGTGTATGAAGTCTTATTGATATTGATAATCAAACGACAACATTACATGTCAAAATGGGCATGCGGATTTTTTTTTTTTTTTTTGTTGGGGGGGGGGGAGTGTTGACAGTTTTGGTTTGGTTGTTGCACCCAGTTAAGCTATTCTGACAACTGCCATTTGGTTTTTCATGCCAAAAAACTTCTAGCTTTTTGTTGGTAAAGAGTAATGCTGGTTTGATCATTTTATGTTTGTTAATTTATCTTATTTTGCTCTGTTTGATTCAATGTAAGCAAGCCAATCTTCCAACTATATATACATATTTTCTGTCAGCACTATGTTTATGTGATTCTTGTTTCCTTCTTTTATTATGGCTACATAATGCCCATGATACTTAATTTATTTATTTTTGTAGGCTTCATTTAGAGCCTTAGTTGGCAAGGGTTATCAGACATTGCAAAGTTTGATATTGGACTTTTGTCAATGGCGTCCAAGTGAAGCACTTTTAAATGCACTGCTTGATATGCTTGTCGATGGAAAGTTTGATATAAAAGCAAGCCCTCTTGTAAAGGTGATTTCCTTGCCTGAAAATTGGAATAATTCATTGTCAGTCACTGTGTTAGTTATCTTACATTTGTTAATTCTTATTTTACCCTTTCTATGCACTACAAATTTTTCCATAATCTCAAATTATTGCAATTGACTTGCTTCTCATATATAGTTTTTTTCCCCTGTTCTGCTTCAGAATGAGGATGTGATCATACTTTATCTGAGTGTTCTACAGAAGGTTGGTAATTGTTTCCTTTTGTAACTTTTCCATGTGTTTGGTCCTCTTTTCCTCAGATTTGGGGTTACAATTACCTCCTCTCTGAAATTGTCCCTTTTTGCGCTGTTATTTGACAACATCATTCTGTATCATTGCTTGCTATTTTATGACTGGGCAGAGCAGTGACTATTTGCGGCACTATGGTCTCAACATGTTCCAGCAACTGCTCAGGGATTCCATTTCCAACCGAGCCTCATGTGTGAGAGCAGGAATGCTTAATTTTCTTCTTGATTGGTTTTCTCAAGAAGATAATGACAGCACCATTTTGAAAATTGCGCAATTGATTCAAGTCATTGGTGGGCATAGCATATCTGGGAAAGATATCCGTAAAATCTTTGCTCTCCTCCGTAGTGAGAAAGTTGGGACTCGGCAGCAGTACTGCTCACTATTGTTGACAACTGTTTTGTCGATGCTCAATGAGAAGGGCCCAACTGCTTTTTTTGATTTCAATGGGAATGATTCTGTAAGTCCCTATGGTTTCTTACAAGTTATATAAAGAAATAAACCAGTATCTTCTTATCCAATTACATCAACATTTAGTGTTTTCTTTCCCTTCTTTATTGAGCTCTATATCTAGAACTTTTGGAACAGTATCTGCAGCTGATATTGACAGGAACCTCTTCTGTGTGTTCATTAGGTCTGTTTGGAGAATGATTTTGTTCTCCACATCATAGTTCTTTGTCTTCTATATCTCATTTCTTCTTTACAAAAAGAGGGGGTTGGGGGGTTTACCTTGTTATTGTTGCATTCTTTGTTCAGGTAAATGATCTCTCCATTCTGAGGCAATTGTTTGTGGGATAGATTTCTTTTTTTTTCCCACATGTAAGGAGTTCTGCTGCAAGAGATGTAAGAGTTATCTTAGTTTTCAGCTGGATTGGATGGCTCTATTGTATTGATTTTTCATCTTTGAATTAGAGGATGCCTTATGCTCCTCTTTATAGAATTTTTATTTTTTATTTTTTTATCATGATGAAATATTCATCTTTTATCGTAAACATGAGTTTTCAGGATATTTATACTCTCAAATGACTACTAGCATTTTTTCTTTAACTTACTGCAGGGGATTATAATTAAAACACCTGTGCACTGGCCTCTCAGCAAGGGTTTTTCTTTTACGTGCTGGCTTAGAGTGGAAAGTTTCCCTAGAAACGGAATGATGGGTCTTTTCAGTTTTCATACTGAAAATGGAAAAGGGTGCTTGGCAGCTCTTGGCAATGAAATGCTTGTTTATGAGGTAAGTTTTTGGCTGGGAAATATCTCTGGTGGTGTTGATTCATATACTATCCATTCTTTGGACTAAGGACTCTTTGAATACTTCTACTTCGCCTTGGCTTTTCTAGAAGATTCTTGTTAGCATCACATTTGATATTATGTTTTTGGCAGTCAATTAATCTGAAGCGACAGCGTGTTCAGCTTCACATTAATTTATCCAGAAAGAAATGGCATTTTCTTTGCATTACTCATAGCATCGGACGGGCATTTTCTGGGGGTAGCCTGTTGAGATGTTATATAAATGGTGATCTTGTGGCATCTGAACGATGCAGGTTCTGTCCCAAAATCTTTTCATTTTATTTTAATGGCATTTAAATTGGTGTAAAGGGATTTTCCTCCCTGACTCGCATCTTTTCATGATTCAGATATGCAAAAGTTAATGAATCATTGACGAGCAGTAGTATTGGCATGAAAATTAATTTGCCCCAGAATGAAGAAGAGAGTTCTTTGGACTCCATTCAAGATTTCTTCTCTTTTCATGGTCAGATTGGCCCTGTCTACTTGTTTGGTGATGCCATTTCTCCTGAGCAAGTCCAGGGTATCTATTCCTTAGGACCAAGCTATATGTACTCGTTCCTTGATAATGAAGCGACACCTTTTTATGATAGTTCATTGCCCAGTGGAATTCTTGACGCTAAAGATGGTCTGGCATCAAAGATCATCTTCGGACTCAATGCCCAGGTTTGTTGACATTTCATGATAATTTTGGTTTTAAAAGCTTGCTTTGGATATTTAGGTAGATTCAAAGCGGTTACTTTCTTTTTCAGGCTAGTGATGGCAGGAAGTTGTCTAATGTTTCACTGGGAACAGATCTTGCATTAGATAAGAAATCATTTGATGCAACTGCTATGGCTGGTACACAGTTATGTTCACGACGCACGTTGCAAGAGATCATTTACTGCGTTGGTGGTGTGTCTGTGTTTTTTCCTCTCATTTCCCAGTCTGATAGGTATGACAATGAAGAAAGTGGATCCTTTGAACATACACTGCTTACTCCTATCACGAAAGAACGCTTGACAGCTGAGGTTATTGAGCTCATAGCTTCTGTCTTAGATGATAATTTAGCAAACCAACAACAAATGCATCTTCTTTCTGGATTTTCAATTCTGGGATTTTTATTTCAATCAGTTCCACCAAAGCAACTCAATTTGGAGACGCTTTCTGCTTTGAAACATCTGTTTAATGTTGCTGCAAACTGTGGTATGTATCATGAACTGTCCACTGGTTTTTATTTATGTGGAAAATTATTCTAGCCATGTCTTGATTATCTTGAATCCTTTTAGTTGCATTTTGAGCATGATAAAATCTTTTCTTCTTTTTTTGTTCCAAAATATTTATCTTCTTTGCTTTTTCTTCAGGTTTAGCAGAGCTGCTTGTTAAAGATGCTATATCTTGCATCTTTCTTAATCCTTTCATCTGGGTCTACACAGCATACAAGGTGCAGCGAGAGCTTTACATGTTTCTCATCCAGCAATTTGACAATGATCCAAGATTGCTCAAGAGTCTGTGCCAGCTCCCTCGTGTTATTGATATAATTCGTCAATTTTATTGGGATAACTCAAAATCTCGATTTGCTATTGGAAGCAAGCCACTTCGGCATCCCATTACCAAAGTTATCATTGGAGAAAGGCCCAATAGAGAAGAAATTCGCAAAATTCGTCTTCTTTTATTGAGTCTTGGTGAGATGAGCCTCAGGTACCTCTTCAACTAGTGCAGTTACTTTGTGATGAACTTATTTTGGTTTATTGGCGCCTCTTCAATTTCTTATATAAAAGCCTGGGATATTCAGGCAGAGCATTGCTGCTGCAGACATAAAGGCTCTCATAGCCTTTTTTGAAACAAGCCAAGATATGACATGTATTGAGGATGTTCTACATATGGTCATTCGTGCTCTTTCTCAAAAACCACTGCTTGTTGCTTTCCTTGACCAAGTCAATCTCATTGGTGGTTGCCACATTTTTGTTAATCTTCTTCAGAGGTATGCCTTAATTTGAAACTGCTGCATGATCATGATAATTTCCTTAGATTTAGCATGTAGAATGTCAAATTTTAGAGTGATTTGCAGCTTTTGAAAGCAAAGAAATGATATGTATTGCCAATTGAATGCTTTTTGTACATTTGAATTGATAAGGGGCAAAAAAAATTGTCAAATGAGCTCATGGTTGGTAGTTAAATTAAATTAAGCTGGTATTTTTAATTATCTAGTAGATATGTTAGACTGGAAACTAGGTATTATGAACTCCAGAATCTGTCAAGCTAGTAAAAGCCAAACCACTGCTAAAGCAGGCCTGCTTTTAATTAAACATTTAACACTTTAAGTGCCTCTGCTATATTTATATACCTTTTCTCAGGAAAAAGAAATAAAAATAAGGAACGTGTTATTCTCAAGAACAGAGATTATAGACAATTTGGAGGCTCAGTTATCCTTCAAAAGGAGAAGGAAAGAAAAGAACAGGTCTGGATGCAAAAGTGCACTCCGAACCTGTTGAATTCCAGGAAAGGAAGCCCCTAACAGCCAGCCTGAATGTGCGATTTGCAAATATATTTTTATCTTTTGTTTGGAGTTCAAATATGGTTACATGATGCTGTTATTCCTAAGTGGCAGCGAAGAATTCAATTTTTTTTTTCAGAACTCGTGGCACTTTAAGAAGTAACATCTGTCTTTGATTTGCATGTAGTTTCTCTTAAGTTATGCTTCTTCTCTTTTTCATATAATTGAGGATTTGAAATCAATGGTTCTCAGATTCATAGAATCCAACTTCCTGTTTGATTCTAATAGGGAATATGAGCCTATCAGACTACTCAGCTTGCAGTTTCTGGGAAGACTTTTGGTTGGCTTACCATCTGAGAGGAAGGTGCCAAGACTCTTCAATCTTCCTGTTGGGAGATCTAGATCTCTTTCAGAAAGCCAGAAGAAAGTCGGTTCAAGAATGCAGTCAATATTCTCAGCAATTTCTGATAGGTTGTTCAGATTTCCACAGACAGATAATTTGTGTGCAGCCTTGTTTGATGTGCTTCTTGGTGGTGCTAGCCCCAAACAGGTGACTACCAATTTTTGTGAATAGCTCAACTTTTTCTTTCATCCTGTTGATTAGTAATTAAGCTCACCAAGCCTTTGCAGGCTAGTATACCAATTTGGTTTAAAGTATACCATGGGATTTATCTCTAAACCGTTTTAATGAAAAATGAATTATGCTATGCAGGTGTTACAAAAATATAACCAGGTTGACAAGCAGAGAAGCAAAGGAAATAATTCTCATTTTCTCGTTCCTCAAATCTTGGTTATCATTTTCAGATTCTTGTCTAGCTGTGAGGATGTATCTACTAGAACAAAGATAATAAGGGATCTACTTGATCTGGTTGATTCAAATTCTTCCAACGTTGAAGCTCTGATGGTATTATTACTCTGAATAGTTAGTCTACCCTCTTTCTAAATTATTTTCTAACCATTTGAATGCTGCAAATAGGAATATGGATGGAATGCATGGTTAACAGCCACTCCAAAACTTAATTTGTTCAAAGACTGCATGGTTGGGTCTCAAGACCAAGGTGACAGTGAGAGACTTGAGCAGAATTTGGCGAGGAGTTTATTTTGTGTTGTTCTTTGCCACTATATGTATTCGGTGAAAGGTGGCTGGCAACAGTTGGAAGAGACGGTGAATTTTATACTCATGCACTGTGACCGAGTATGTTGAAATCCTAACTGCATCATGAACATCTGTCATTTTTTAGTCTATGTTTACTTCAAATTTATCACAAGTCTAAGGATTGTTTTGCTCAAACCTTTTCTACCACAGGGTGGCATCTCATGTAGAAAGTTGCTTCATGATATATTTGAAGACTTGATTCAAAGGCTGGTAGACTTTTCTTTTGAGGAAAATATCTTTGCTGCACAACCTTGTCGGGACAATACATTATATCTTCTACAGCTGATGGATGAGATGCTTGTTGCTGAAATTGATCATAATATTTTGGTATGTGACTCTTCAATCATCATGCTGATGCTTTAGCTTGCTTATACTTTCCTATCAGAAAGGCACCATGCAGTAATTGATTAAGTTCACTGGGATGACCATAAAGGACTTAGTGTGAGGAATTTGAGCCCAGTGTGATGCTTAATTAGGTGCTTGAACCTAGGTTACACTAGGAGAATATTAATTGCATTTTAAAGGGCTGTTTCACTACTATAGTAAATTACATAGTTCTTTTTCACGTAGTTATTATATTGACTGCCATGACTTTATCATCCATGCTCGGTTATTGAGTCTAATATTATGCAAAGTCTTAAGTGATTATCATTTCAATGTTTAATTTGAGCTGTGCATTTTTTGCATGTGTGATGTAAAAAACGATGGACCATATTGTTGCATTTTTTTTTTCAAAATTATTGGTGTTGTTTTCTGTTTATGCAGAAGCTTTTCAGTACTGAGTAACACGTTCATTCCATGGGCATGCATAACAACTATCTCATTATTTTAGAGTACTGAAACTGCTTTTATTACTGCTTCCATATTTTTTTAGCTACAGATGAGCAAAATAATTTTTCGTCTTTCTTGTAGTTTCCAGCAAACAGCTCTAAAGTGTCTCATGATTCTTCAGAACTAGAAAGCCAGAAGGATTTTAGTTCTGCACTATATCAGGTTGTGCAAGGAGAATTTAATAACCAGATATCTAGGTACCGTCAGTATGTTTTTCAGTTATTATTGTTTCTTAAGATAATGTTTCTTGTCAGAATAATTTGTTTGTGAATTAATTTATCTGAGATGAAACCTGTTTTGTTATTTGCATGCATGGAAAATAATGAAACTTGATAAAGAATGTAATCGGACAGACATCCATTGCAATAATCTCTTTGATAATTTCAGTTGACTCAATTTTAGCCTAACCCCAATAACTGGGTGGTCTATGGGTTTACTTTTGTTCATTTGACTCTGTCCATTAACTTTCGTTTATTAATCTGGGAGATACCATTTCAGAAATACAATATTGAAATGAATATCATGAGCTCCTGAATGCTCAGTTCTGTCCCTGCATGAAATCTCATAGATATACAATGTAAATCTATATGTTGCAAGAATATGTGAAATCAGATACTTGGAAGGAGTTATCTGCTGGAAAATATGTTAGAAGATACAAAGCTGTGCTTGAAAATTGGTATTGTTTCTTATTATTAGATAACCTTTTCTGTGAGACAAATCAACATGCTTGCTATTCTGAGTGCACTAAAAGGTTCAAATTTCTTTCTTCCCTGAAGAAGTTTTTGTAATGGATGTAATTATTTTCATGCAAAGGAAGCAAACTATCCTGGAGATTATGACTGTTAATTTTTTGCGATAATTTGGCTATTCAACTTGGATATTTCCATGCTTTGATCTCTGATAGAGGACAAACCAAAAATTAGATTTTGGAAATTATACATGGAGGGTGATCTAGAGCTTGTAAGATCTAGATTTTCTGCAAGAGGGAATAGGTTACAGTAAAGTCAGGGTTAAGAATAGTTTTCTTCAGAACAAAAAAGTATTGACTGGCTGGAAATAATAGGCAACAACCAAAACTAAGAATATTTGACCAATGGTTAAAGGTTAATTGTGGTAAAGAGTTGGTATGAACTTTAGGCATATATTGGTGTATTTCTGGATGGAATGAGTGTTAAGTCAAGAGAAGAACAATCAAAAATGGGTTTTTTCACAGCCTTTAATGGTGACAAGGGAATTCTTATGAACAAGAAAGATGTCACACCTTGGAGCTTTGGTAAGGGATTGATGAACTTCAATCAACTTTAGATTTAGTGGAGTCCGACTGTCCAAGATTGAAATAACATCCAAAGAAGTTATGTTCCCTGAAACTCTAAATCAATTCTATAAGTTAAAAAACAATTTCCTAATTCGAAAAATAGACTTTCCAATATTTCAATATTTAGATGTGACCTGCAGAAAGCAATTCAATTAAACTTGCCAAGACTCAGCAACCTATGTCATTTTAAATAGTATAAGCCAAAGTTATGGTATCTTCAAGTACCTCTGATTATAAAATTACAAAATCACCACTGGTTGTTGAATATCTAATTTTTTAGCTGTCAAATCTTAAGACCTAAACAGTAAATCAAGGCCCTAAAGCCTACTCATTTGTTGCGTTACCGATGGAGGTAGCTCTCGATGGAATTTTTGATGATTTTCCAGTTCTTCAAATTGCCGCTTCTTTTCACATTGTCTTGTACTATGTTTAACAGTTTTTACTAAATTTTTGCTTTTGTAGAAATCCATGGGGTGGCAAGCATCCAACCACACATGAAGGTGAAATAATCAATGATAAGTGGTGGAATTTATATGACAATTTGTGGATTATTATTAGTGAGATCAATGGTAAGGGGCCAAGCAAGATGGTGCTTAAATCATCAGCAGCAGTGGGACCGTCATTGGGTCAAAGAGCACGTGGCTTAGTAGAATCATTGAATATTCCTGCATCAGAAATGGCTGCGGTTGTTGTGTCAGGGGGATTGGCAATGCATTAGCTGGAAGACCAAATAAAACTGCTGACAAAGCAATGCTTTTAAGAGGGGAGAGATGCCCAAGAATTGTTTTCCGACTTGCTATTCTGTATCTTTGCAGATCTTCTTTGGAAAGAGCATCTCGGTGTGTTCAACAGGTTATTGCACTTTTACCTTCTGCTCTGGCTGTCGATGATGAGCAAAGTAAGAGCAGGTTGCAGCTTTTCATCTGGTACCATTTCTTTACACCCAACTACGTTATTTGTGTCTTTAGATTTTCCATCTTGTCCCTCCAATAGTTTACATTAATCATGGATGCGGAAATGTGACCTCTTTTCTACATGTTAACCATGGGTTGTAACTTTGTCATTCTGGCCAGGTCTTTACTTGCTGTAAGGTCTGAATATGGGGTGTTAGATGATGGTGCTCGTTTTCATGTTATATCGCACCTGATTCGAGAAACAATCAACTGTGGCAAATCAATGCTGGCTACTAGCATTGTGGGTAGAGATGACTCTTCTGATTCTGGAAGTAACTCAAAAGGCACCAGCTCTATTCACAGTCTAATCCAAAAGGATCTAGTGCTTGCAGCAGTATGTTCCATTATTATCTTTTATTTTGTCTTATCACTTCATACAGATACTTCTACTCAAGTTTTTCTTGATGTTTATTGCTCCCCTCTTTGGTCCATTGCATGCAATAGTTCATGCAACTAGAGGTGTTACCAAGACTCCTGCTTGTCTTCCTCTAATCCATTCCTGTGGGATGACTACAGTTTATATTAGAAAAACTTCGGTTGAGGTTTTTGTCAGGATGCAAGGTCCTCATATATAGCTGGTATTAAGATGTGATGAAATCTTTTTCTTGTTGCATTTAGTATATAGTTCACCACAGGCGTGTATATCAATAAGTCCATGGAATTAAACCTAATATAAAAACTAAAAGACTAAGATAAAAACAAAATGCAATAGTTTTTGCATGAAACAATAGGAAAAGGTCGTCTATGAGAAATTATCGAACTATCAACGCATCCATACTCTTAGCTATAGGCATATGCTCCTAGATTAAGAAGCCTTTTTTAAGAAAAAGAGCACACAGATAAGATATATCAAAATTTCTATCTGTTGTATGTGGAGCCCCTCATTTATCAAAATTTACATGGATTGTGGTAAGGTGGATGGCAAAGTCTGTTTTGGCTTTAATTATCAAACACCTGTTGATTGCATGTCCATTTCTCTCCTGTTTTATCAATTGAGTAATTGTCATATTTTAATCTTCAGGTTTCTGAGGAGGCAAAATACATAAAATCATCAATATCTGACCGCACCAGGCAGTTGGAGGAGCTCCATGCTAGGATGGATGAGAATTGCACTGTGGAAACTAATAACAAGAAAGCATTTGAAGATGAGATACAAAATATTTTGAACTCAATTCTTTCTTCAGATGACAGTAGAAGAGCTGCATATCAGCTTGCGCATGAGGAGGAGGAGCAAAATGTTGCAGTATGTTAGTTTCTGTATAATATATACTATCTTTTCAAACTGTTGTCTTTTGCCTCTGGAAATTTTCTGAATGTTTTGATTATGCATATAAAACAATTGATTTTGCCTTGACAGGAGAAGTGGATGCACATGTTCCGCACATTGATTGATGAGAGAGGTCCCTGGTCAGCTAATCCATTTCCAAATTGTGTTCTAAAGCATTGGAAACTTGACAAGACAGAAGATGCATGGAGACGTAGACCCAAGTTAAGACAGAACTATCATTTTGATGAGAAGCTATGTCTTCCTCCATCATCCTCTGGCAATGAGGATACTCTTCCTGTAAATGAAAGCAAAACTAGTTTTGTGGGCCATATTCCTGAGCAAATGAAGCAGTTTCTACTGAAAGGAGTGCGCAGGATAACTGACGAGGGGAGCTCAGAAGCTGGTGAAAATGATGCTGAAACCAGCGGGCGAACAACATCTATCCCTGATGATCCTTCAGAGAGTCAATGCTTGGATCTTGTTGGAGACAATTGTGGACAGAATGATATTCTACAAGACAAAATAGATTCTTCTTCCGCTTCACCAGATACAGAAACTAGTGAGGTATGTCCGAGTGAAGTTCAAGGATGATTAGAGCAAGAATTGCTGCATTACAATTGTTAATATGCAGAATACCTTTCTTTCATATATTCTAATTATATATATACAAGATACAAGGACCTATACATGGTAAATAGATTAAACCTACAGCTGTGTGTATATTCCTAATTTAAGAGAAAACTATGTAGGAAATATACATGATAGGAAATGGGAAAGAATACAGCTCATTCCCGCTAACTATTACTAATACCGGTTTCCTGTTGCAGGTTCTCATGTCTGTTCCATGTGTACTTGTAACACCAAAAAGAAAACTGGCTGGAAATTTGGCAATCATGAAAAATGTCTTGCACTTTTTTGGTGAGTTTTTGGTTGAAGGTACTGGAGGATCATCTGTGTTCAAAAACTTCCACTCTTCTATCAAGTCTGATGCAAACAAGCTTGAACAGAAACATAAGTCTCTTAAATGGCCTATACCTGTCGATTTAAGTCCTGAGAAGGGGATTTCTGTTGATAATACAGTCTCAGCAAATGAAAATGTGCCCCAAAGGCAGTCAAAACATGTTAGGCGACATAGAAGATGGAGTGTTGGCAAGGTTGGTAAACTCTAGTAAGTTTTAGGTGGTTTTGCTTCTCTTTATCACTTATGCAAAATCTGATTTGGTGATATACTTTTACTGATTATAGATAAAGGCTGTCCATTGGACTCGTTATCTGCTTAGATACACTGCAATAGAGATTTTCTTTGGTGACTCAGTTGCCCCCGTCTTCTTGAATTTCACCTCACAGAAGGATGCAAAAGAAGTTGGAACATTAATAGTTACTACCCGAAATGAATTCTTGTTTCCAAAAGGAAGTAGTAAGGACAAGAGTGGAGCTATTTCATTTGTCGATAGGCATGTGGCCTTGGGGATGGCAGAAATTGCCAGAGAGAGTTGGAGGAGAAGGGATATAACAAACTTTGAATATCTGATGATTCTCAACACACTTGCAGGAAGATCTTATAATGATTTAACACAATATCCCGTCTTCCCTTGGGTTTTGGCGGATTATTCCTCGGAGGATCTTGACTTTAACAGGGCTTCGACCTTTCGAGATCTTACCAAACCTATTGGAGCACTGGATGTAAAACGTTTTGAGGTTTGTTTTCTTGTCATCTGTTTGTTAGTGTGATGAACTTAGATTTTCTAACTAAGCTTTTAAAAGTATTCTAGTATTTGCTTCTCCTATTCAGGTGTTTGAAGATAGGTATCGTAACTTCTCTGATCCTGATATACCCAGGTAATACTCATCCATGGTTTCAATGCCTGTGATAGTTTTCTACATGTATCCGGTAGTTCTTTTTTTCCCTGATCTGTGACAGTTCTTGTATTCTTTATTGCAGCTTCTACTATGGATCTCATTATTCAAGCATGGGGATTGTACTTTATTACCTTCTTAGGTTAGAGCCATTCACATCGCTTCACCGTATTTTACAGGTACTGGTTTTAAGTATTTCTTGCTAAATATCTGCCACTGTACGTGGAAGCTTGATGTAATGAGTATGTGATGCCTGTGGCCAATTATTGAATATTTATTTATTATCTTGATAGAATAAAAAGATTAGACGAAGGGAAGATAATCTAAAGATTTGAGACAAGGCATAACTGATGGAAACAACAAAAGTTAAAAGAGTAAAAGGCTAGCCAACTCTGTTGAATGTCTGCTACTAAAATTTCTCTAGAAGCATCAAAATAGAACACCATAAAGTAGCCAGAAGTTTCACTCTATTCCATAACGAGTGTTTGAATAAAGAGCATACACAAGACACAGTATGATGCTAAACATGCATGGTTTTCATTTTCCAATAGCTTTTATGAAAATTCAATTCCTTGATTTTTTTCCTCGTCATATTAAGAAATTGTACACTCTCTCTCTCTCTCTCTCTCGCATCTGAAACAAAATTAACTGCTACTTTTAGGATTCCTCTAGTAAGATCATCTATTATTATAAAGCACATTTGAAATATTATTTATAAAGAGAACATTTGAAATATTATTTATAAAGAGAATTACTCCAATGTTTGCCATTAAATGTGAAACTTCAAATTCAGATTTCTTTCATCAGTTATCTATATTCTCCATTTTGCCCATCTTTGGCTCCCAACCACAATAATGTAGGTTTGAGCAGAAAACCATGAAGAATGGGATTGACTCCATTCTCTCTTTCTTAGGACACCACACCAGCAGGGCTCTTTTTGTAGTTTACTGTCTCCTACTGTGATTGGAAGTATAATATGGCAGTATGGGTAACTGGAAAATCTTGAGAAGATGATTAAAATTCACTTTATGTATCAAAAAGTTTCAGTTGCTAGCTAGCTTTCTTACGAAGTTTTTTATTTTGAGGAAAAAAAAGTGTGTTTGAAGTAAGTTTTATTATGTTAAGAAAAGGTGCATTTCACAACATTTAAAGATTCATGGTAAGAAATTAGACGAAGAAGAAAGTCAGTGGTATCATTGATTTTCTTGTATAATTCAGTTCATTATAGTATTCAAGGTAATAACTTGTGTGTTTAACTGTTTATCTGGTTCAATATGGTTTTCTTAGTGCTATTATGTGCTTTGAGTCTCTTTCTTGTTTATCATTTTGTTGGCATATACTGCATCCTGGTCCAAATTCTTAACTTAGCCATTGCTTTTTATCAGGGTGGTAAGTTTGATCATGCAGATCGCCTTTTCCAAAGCATTGAAGGCACTTATCGAAATTGCCTTTCTAATACAAGTGATGTGAAGGAGTTGATTCCTGAGTTCTTTTACATGCCGGAGTTTCTTGTTAATTCAAATTCTTATCATTTGGGAGTCAAACAAGATGGGGAACCACTAGGAGATGTTTGCCTCCCTCCCTGGGCCAAGGTACGAACTTCTTCATACACTTTATAGTTCAGACTGTACTGTATTGTAGGTAATGTTGGATAGGAGAAAGGGACTTGTACATCCTTTTCAGAGTCCAAGTAGTGAAAATTATATTGAAAAGTGAAAGAGAGGTTTTTGCATTTTTGTTTTTGAATTTTACAATGTTAAAATATTCACACACGTATTATAAGACTTTGTGAGTATTAAACGAATGACCAGATAATGAAGCAAAAGAAACCAAATGTGACATGTAGGGGAGAGATCCAAGAGGGAGGATGGGGGGATTAATTCAGCAGCTACAGGGTTCTCCAACTTCAGATAGACTCCAGAACTCAGCCCATTAGTTCTTTGACAAGTGTTGCTATCCTAATCCAAACACAACTCATTTTTGTTGTTATGCAAATGTGATGCGCCACTGAAACTAGTGTGGACAAGTATCAAATACGAATTGAGGTCAAGCATAAAACAAACTACAAACAGATGAAGAAATCTTAAACATAAGCTTTATACCAAATATCAATTTTGGTCTTAATACCCTACTCCATGGAGTTAAATGAGTTGACTATCTCGTAAATCTTTGATGCCCACTGCGATGAGTCATGGCCATCTTTGAGTTTGGCATCATTTTGAAACCAGTGCAAATGAGTTCCTCTTCTGTAATATCAGACCACTTAATATATGGTCTTGTTGGCAGTTATCTATTCTTTCAAACCCCCCCCCCCCCCCCCCAAACCACCACCACACACACACACAAACACCAAAGCTTGATGGGAGATGGAAGTCCTTTGAAATTGAAATAAATAGCACATGATACTTGTATTTAGGGACTCGTTTGATAAATGATACTCAGATGTGTTGCCTGTAGATTGTGGTGGATTGTGTTGATATGTGTGTATACCATGTATTACATTTACTTTTTTACTCTAGAAGTCTATTATTATGTCTAACATGTGATCCGGAATAACTTAGATCTAAGTCTTTTTTTGCAGGGCTCACCTGAATTATTTGTAAATAAAAATCGAGAGGCACTTGAAAGTGAATATGTTAGCTCAAATCTCCATCACTGGATTGATTTGGTGTTTGGATATAAGCAGCGAGGAAAACCAGCAGTAGAGGTATTGTTGGATTATTCATTTTTTTCACAAGTGATGCTTGTTTTGCCTTGGTTGATATTTATTGTTTCCATATTCACTAGTTTCTTTGGAAATGAAATGGGATTGCAGGCTGCAAATATTTTTTATTATTTAACTTACGAAGGTGCTGTTGATCTGGACACCATGGAAGATGAGTTGCAGAGATCAGCAATTGAAGACCAGATTGCAAACTTCGGCCAGACTCCAATTCAGATTTTCCGCAAAAAACACCCTAGAAGAGGGCCTCCAATCCCAATTGCTCATCCTTTATACTTTGCACCTGGTTCTATTAATTTATCATCCATTGTGTCTTCGATTACCAGTCATCCACCTTCAGCAGTATTATATGTTGGTACATTGGATTCGAATATTGTTCTTGTAAACCAAGGGCTAACTTTGTCAGTTAAGATGTGGTTGACAACTCAGCTGCAATCTGGTGGCAATTTCACTTTCTCTAGCTTCCAGGTTGAGTGTATTATCTTTTGATGATTACTAAATTGTTCACCATATATAATGATTAAAGAGTAATGCTAACCATCAAGAAAATATGACCAGAAAAAACCAAGAATACAAGTGGACTGTTTGATCATAATCTTAAAATGAGACCCGCTTGTACGTCCTACTAATCCAACAGTCCATGTGTATTCTGGGAGTTTTTTCTTAGTCTTATTTTCTTGATGTTTAGCATTACCCACGATTAAAATATATTTATAATAAAATTTTGTTAGTATCCATTTGTGTTAAACACAACTTCTCAAACTTTTGCAGGAACCGCTATTTGGAATAGGTTATGATGTTCTTTCTGCTCGAAAAATCGGCAGTCCTTTGGCTGAAAATGTTGAACTAGGAGCACAATGCTTTGCAACATTGCAAACACCAACTGAGAATTTTTTAATCTCGTGCGGTAATTGGGAAAACAGTTTCCAAGTCATTTCTTTAAATGATGGAAGAATGGTGCAGAGCATTCGACAGCATAAAGATGTGGTCAGCTGTGTGGCAGGTAATTTTTCATATTGAAGTTGTTCTATCCACCATAAGTTGATAGGGTTTCTGAATCGCATTGAAAAGAGGATCTGCTGTTAGAGAATATAACATAACCCAATTTTTATGTCCCAAGTACAACTTATACTTTTGGGTGGTTCTTTGACATGGAAAATCCTCTTTGCAAATTGGACTAAAAATGACCATTTGGGAGTTCGATCCTTGACACCCCTTGTTAATAGTTAAATTAGATCAAATCATACTTCAGCATAGGGCTGTTAGGCCTGTGCTTTGTCCAAGTTTCAACCTAATGGGCTTCTACTTTAAGGGGTGGGAGAGAATAATGAAAACCATTCTTGGGACCTCAACTACCAGGTTAAGCTTTTAGGTTGCATGATTCTTTGAAGTTGTCATGAGTTTGAACCTTGGCACCCTAATTCTTATAATTAATCGGCATAAGGTACCAGTGGGTTATTCTTTGTCTGAATTTCAAACTCATTCAACTAGCAATTTAAGCTTTGTGGTTAAATGGTTGTTTGACATGATATCAAATCTCTAGGACCAATGGGTTAGGAGTCCAATCCCTTGCATCACCTATTCTTGTTCTCTGGTGCATTCCTGCCCTGCCTGTCCGCTTAGTGAATCGATTTCTTGTTTAGCGAATCGGGAATAAAAGGCCTAATGTTAAATTACATCTCAAAGTAGTGGTCGGCCGTGCTTGTCCAAGCTTCAACCCCAATGACCTTTGCTTGCTCTGGAATGTTTAAGAGGATACAAATGTAATATAAACCATTCTTGGAATAGGGGATATGGATGGAAGATACATGAATTGTTTTGAGGGGAAAGGACAATGTGCAGGAATCATTGTTTTGAATTTTTTTGGGATAATACATTTCTGGATAGTGTTTTAAGAAGATAGCCTCTACAAATAGAAAGGCCAGCCAAAGTGTCATAGCATGGTAGTGAGTTCGCATTATATGTCGTCAGGACTGCTCTGGAGTGGAATCTTCCATCATCACTTAATCTCATGAGCAATGTAGCATCGTTCTTGTATTGCATGATCTTCTACTCATTGTATATTGCCATATCTTTTTCATAGTACTTTCTAAAATGTTTGATTCTTGATATTTATTTGTTTATCTTTTTTCTGTATTCTTTCTTTCTAAAGAAAATTATTTGTTTATCTTGAATTATTTCTTAAGAGTACATGTCATATCTCTTATATCAATGACAATTGCAGTGACAGCTGATGGTAGTATCCTTGCTACTGGAAGTTACGACACCACAGTCATGGTATGGGAGGTTCTTCGTGCCCGAACCACTGACAAGAGAGCTCGAAATAGACCGACTGAGCTATCCCGTAAAGATTATGTCATTGCTGATACTCCCTTTCATATTCTTTGTGGGCATGATGACATAATTACATGCTTATGTGTTAGTGTGGAGCTTGACTTAGTTATTAGTGGTTCAAAGGATGGAACTTGTGTTTTCCATACCTTGAGGGAGGGAAGATACGTAAGATCTTTACACCATCCATCTGGCAATGCGTTGTCAAAACTTGTTGTTTCTCGACATGGACGGATAGTCTTTTATGCTGATGACGATCTTAGTTTACATCTGTATTCTATTAACGGAAAACATCTTGCCACCGCTGAATCTAATGGGCGCCTCAACTGTGTTGAACTTAGCAAATGTGGTGAGTTTTTGGTCTGTGCAGGTGACCAAGGACAGATAGTCGTGTGGTCTATGAACACATTCGCTACTGTCAGAAGGTATAATGGAGTTGGAAAGATAATAACTTGTCTTACAGTAACTGAGGAGGAATGCTTTTTAGCTGGGACCAAGGACGGAAATCTTCTTGTGTACTCTATAGAAAATCCTCAACTACGTAAAACTAGCATTCCTCGAAGCACAAAATCTAAAGCTTGTGTGTCAGGATAGATCTACAATCAGTTGTCAGAAATGCAGTTTAGCAGCCTCTGCCAACTGCTGATGTTAATCTCCGGTATGCTGTGCTACCATTGTGCCTTTTCTAATGAACACTTAATGCACTTTATGTGTGTTTATTATCACACTTAATTTATGCTATGCTTGTTCTTAGAGTATTCTTTTTTATCTTCCACGTCTCAAGGTAAAACCTTTCTGTTAAGGGTGCATCTTTCACACTTAATTTATGCTATGCTTGTGCTCAATGCTTGTCCTTAGAGTATTCTTTTTTATCTTCCACGTCTCAAGGTAAAACCTTTCTGTTAAGGGTGCATCTTTCACACTTAATTTATGCTATGCTTGTGCTCAATGCTTGTTCTTAGAGTATTCTTTTTTATCTTCCGCGTCTCAAGGTAAAACCTTTCTGTTAAGGGTGCATCTTTAGAGAGGGAAAAAAGATCATGCACATCCTGTTGGAAACATCAGCATTTTATGGGCATCTAAGAAAACAGCATGATATGCTTCTTGGTCAGGTCTATTTAATGCACTGTGTGTCCACATATGTTCTCATTCCACGTGATAAGCCCAATAAGAGCTGCTTCTTGAAGTTGATCTGTATCTTTTGTGTTCTTGTTTGAAATGCTTTTTTACATTCTTAGATTATCCCTTCTCTAATTTTCCCATCTTACCACTAAATAGTATGTTATCTTACAGCATATCTTGCTTGTCCAAATAGATTCTCATTCCATTTGATGGTCCCAACAAGAGCTGTTTCTTGAAGTTTTCATTCTTCTTTTCTGTTTTTGTTTGAAATGCATTTTTCATCGTTGGATTCTCACTTATCAAATTTTCTCATTTACCACTAAATAGCATGATATTGTACTGGCACATCCTCCTTTGCTTAACAATGATATTTTCTGACTTTGAGACTTTTTCCTGGCCAGCGAAGTAGGATTTTATGGGAAAACTAAACTTTGCTTGACAATGATAAATTAAATGTTGAGAGATTCTTTTTTCTTTGAATTTCCTGTGTTGTGATGTAAATCTTCTTTTGATATCGAGCAGGAATACATACTTAGGATACTGAAAATTTGTTCACATCTGTAATGGATGTTCAGACCAGTAGACTCGTTCCATCTGAGCCGAAGACAGTGAAGGATTTATGCTATGCAGTTGGGGGCTACCAGATAGGAAGCGGACTAAAGTTTCAGCTTCCTGTTGCAATATACAGAGACCTTGAATAATTGGAATTGACATATTGTTTTCTATAACATCATAATCAAATGCTGCCTGCCTCAAATAGTCTTCTCTTCTCATATCTTAGGAGGTGAGAATGCCATTGCGCGATTGCTTGCACATATGTGTTCATTATATTCTTATAGGGTTGAATAGAATTGTTGTTGTGTATTTAACAACAGAGTTATAGGAGCTCGCTTTCTTTACATAGCGAAGCACAACCTTTGTACAGATAGTCCTTGTTGAAGGTAAAATTTGTTGCTTGTACTTCATCAAACAATTGTACAGTTCATTGGAAAATTATTGGAGGTACGAATGACTATAAGAAAGATCCAACTGGTAACTTACAATCTTGCTGGATCATTTTTAGTTAATACTAGCATGCATCCCGCCCTTTCTTGCGGGATGAGCTTCTATAAATTCTTCTCATGCGATAAATTATATAAAATAAAGAATAAAGAATTGTAATAAGATTGTTTAAAACAGTATAGAAATGAATTATTTCAAAACTTTTAAATAAATCTATTTTATAGAAATGAAAAATAAAGAGTTTTGCATTGACTTTTTAATAGACTAATAAAAATGCATAGATACAAAATTACTAAAAGAAAACTAAAGTAAAACATGATTTTACTATTTATTTTCACTATTTAAAACACTATTCTTACAATAATAAATTATTATTCAAACACTCATAAATCACTATCCATTTCATTATTCATGTCATTTTTTTAGCACTTTGGTCCTCGATTTTTTTATATATTTTTTCAATTTTAAATTTTAATTGTATTGTAATTAGGTCTCATTTTGTTTTAGTGTTTTCTTTTAATTATTTTAATTATTTAAAATTTATTATTTTAATTTATCATTTTTTTTAATATAGTCATATGTTATTAATATTATGATCATATTATAATAATATTATTTTTCTACACTAAGCATTTACTATTTATTTATTTATTTTTGAATTAAATAATTAAAACAATGTTTTAGCTTAACCACTAAATGATTCAAATTAATATAGTTTTTTATTTTAATATTGTTCATTCTTTTGTAAATAAATATATAAAAATTAAATTCACATTTTTTTAAAACCCGATATTCTCATCAACATTAAATAAATAAAAAAATTATTTGTTCAATTCTATGTAAGCTTTTAATAGTTATTATTATTTTTTTAAACAAAATCTTATGAAATACTAAAGTTCTTTTTTTTAATTTATTTAATTTTCTTTTTAGTTAATAATCCATGAATTAACAAGGATAAATCTTTTTTCTAAAGGAAAAATTATGAAAAACACAAATAAGGAATAGTTAAATACAAAATTTTTTATTAAAAAACTATAAATAATTTTTTTCACCTTTTATTTCATATATTTTTCTAAATAATTTTATATATTTTATCTAACCCGTGGCATAACGTGAGTAAAAAAACTAGAGATAATTGTGATAAAATGCATTTTATGCAAAGCAAATATTTAAAATGGCCATTCGAAAAATATTCAGCAACATAATGCTCCTTTATACAATAAGACATTTTATTAGAAATATGTATAACAACTAATAATTAAATTAATAGTGGTAATTTCTTCAATCTTAAATGACCATAGTTTTCATAATTTATTTTTTATCTATTGTTTGTTTGTTTGTTTTGATATGATTAAATTTATTAGATGTTGTTGGGTCAAAAACAAAAAAGAAAGAAGAAATTTGAAGTTGACATAAACAAAAGGACTTAAAAACTTCTATTTTAGCTTGAAATAATACAAAATAGTAGGGATTTTATATACATGTAAAATGATAAAACTTTAATGATAGAAACAAAATAAAAATCACATAACACCAAAAAAAAAAAAAAAAAAAATCACTCAAAGCCAATAAGAGAATAAGAATAGTAAAAAAAAAAAAAAAACTCATTATGCATAAGGTAGGAGTAAAAATCGCACATACAAAGCTTTAATAACAATAATAATAACAATAATAAAACTAAGAATCACATAACAAGACTAAAAAAAGAAAAAAAAAAAGTTTATCTAAAGGCCAAAAAAAATAGGCTTAGGAACAATGAGATTTTGGAGATTGCATTATCCCCATCGAACAATAAAAAGTTTACTTTAATTCTTTTTTAGGTCTTCGGTTTTGTTATTCCTTTATATCCATATTTGATATCATAATTTATAAAAAAAAAATTTACTTACACTCTTAAATATAACTAATTTCTTCCAAAAAATCAGATTATTTATTCGTAAGATAAATATTTAAATAAATAGACATGCTAATTTACTCTAATAATATATTAAAATAAAATTAAAGATTTTATTTTCAATAATTCAATAAAATATTTTAAGAAAAATAAAAATATAAAAATAAAAATGAATCCAATAACGATAATTTTAAATTGGAACGATCAAAATAAAAATATAATATAAGGACCGAAACGAAAAAAATAGAAGAAAACTTTACAGTATGCAGGTTCAAAAATCGCATGATCAAAACTCTAATAATCAAAATAAAGATAAGATCATAAATTAGGGACCAAAACAAACAAAAACTTCAGAAAAAAAATGCCAAAAAGGCTGCTTAGCTATAGCAGAACCCAACCCTATTTTGTTTTAATATATTTTATTAATAGATTTTTATGGTTGGGAAGTGGGACTGGTTTCCCATCTGCAGCAACTGCTGTTTATTTTGGTTGGTAGTTAATATATATGTCGAAGTTTAATTATCTGTCTTTTATTTCACTTCGCAAGTTAGAATGCTGTTCTCATGTCTGTCTCTCTTTGAGTGCACATATATATGAAACAGAATTTCAAAATAATAAATTCATGAGCAGGGAACAGCACATCTTTTAACATCTCAAATTCTCAATTTGACCAGTATAGCTTGTTCAGATACTGTGAATTCTATGCTTCCATGAATTGTCAACCAAGGTGAGTCTTGGCCTGAATTCGTTAACTTAAAAGCTTCTGGAAGTTTCATGGTGGTGTAATACAGCTAAAGCTAGCTTGTGCCATCAGAGGGACGAGACTGCAAATTTTTCATGGTCTTCTCTACCGTTAACGAAACGGTTTGAAATTCTATGAAGAAAACACGCAATTGTTACATGCCATTTCAAAAAATAGAGCTCTCCGCTTTGGGTCCACTGCCATGAAATGGGTCGCTATTAGGAACAAGAGACCAAGATTTCCCTTATGCTCTACTATAATAAAGAACTGTGTGTCTTCTTTATGCTTTTACCCGTGCCTTCTTATTCTCCTTAAGGTAATTTACGAGCCTTTCCACAAAACAGTTGTTCCTATCCACGTCCCCAAACAAACGTCTCACGTCCCTTGCCTGGTTTCTCCATGACGCGCCCGAGTCATCTACCATTGCCGTTCTCAATATCTCGGCTACTGATGCCCATGTAAACGATCCATCTTGCTCATTTCTTGGTATCTCCAACCCAAGCTTTTTTCCATGCAACAACCTTGAGTTGAGCCCCTGGTCATTTAGGAGTGGAAACAGAATCAAAACCCGGCCAAAAGTTAGTCCCTCTATGATGGAGTTCCAACCACAGTGAGTCAGAAAACCCCCAACTGAATCATGACTCAGTATTTTCACCTGTGGAGCCCACCCTCCATATACAATCCCACGATTCTTGATTCGCTCCTGAAAGCCATCTGGTAGCATATCCAACGCGTTCGGAGTTGACCCAGGTGAGTTCTTGAGCACCCAAAAAAAAGTCAACGTTGAATTCTCCAAACCAAGAGCTAACTCTTTCAATTCTTCCCCAGTCAAAGCAGCCTCAGTCCCTATTGCAACATAAACCACTGAGTTAACTTTTTGTTTATCTAACCACTCTTTGATATTACCCCATTTGTGGCCATTAATGTCATCTTCTTCATTATCTTCTTCAAACGGAGGCAAAAACCCGACCGGTACAATGGGTTTTTTGTACAGCTGATCGCATAAAAGGTTGAACCACTCCGGTTCAAACTCGGGAGAGCTTCTAATAATCACAACATCGCTCTCTCCAGCTGCAAAGCCGAACCTGATCGAATCCGTCGGACCAGTTTCATCTTCCTCCGTTTTCTCCACATACTTTGTTACCTCATGCAAATGGAAGACAAGGTCTGTTTCAAAAGTGATCCAGTCGGGCACGACCGTGAAGTCCTCAGCTTTCGATTGTGAATCTCCATTATTCATCAAAACTGATGGTGGCCCAATATAGGACAAAACTGCAGCAGTGAAAAGACTGAAGAAGGCACATGAGATACCAAGCCTGGCTGCTACAGATGGTACCCAGTGAGAAGCGTAATCGTAAAAAATCCAATCTGGTTTTAAGGATTCAAGGAAACTCGTCAGTGGTGGTTCAAGCAAATCAAAGGCTTTCTTTAGTAACTGCTGTTTGGTGTAGGGTATGTCTGCAGATGACTCTGCATGGGATGGTAAGTTGGGTACGTGAGGAAAGGGAAAGGACACCAGAGTAATTTCAGAAAATAGGTTTTTGGGTATTTTAGGAAGCCTACTAAGGTTTCTTGGTGTTGATACAAAATAGATTCGGTGACCCTTTTCAGCTAAGAGCTTGGAGAGTTGGAGAAATGGTATGAGATGTCCCATGGCTACCCATGGAAACATCACTACTTGCAGTCTGTCAGCGTTGCCGTCTTCCATGAAATTGCAGAAAGGTAAAGCACAAGTTCCGTAGTGTTGATAATATGGCAGATATTTTTAATTATAGCCGCCTGCCTGGAGCTTTGGACGGGCTGTGAGATGGAAGTGGGCCGGGTATAAAATAGATACTTTTCCCAACCGTTCATTAGTTATTCTTTAAAAATATTTTAATAAATAATAAATTAAATATGAATAAAATAATATATATATATATATATATATATACAACCACACAATTACTTATCATGATTCCCGATATAAGAGTAAAAATAAGGATAAGTAATTCTTTTTATCTTATTGATACCCATATTTTCCTATTAACATAAAAAAAAGAAGGTAAAACACAGAATTTTATCAAATAAACAAATGAAAAAAGGAAAAAAAAAAAAAAAGCATCGCCTAGCTGAACCACTTCCTCTCCTCCACAGCCAAACCACACCTCCACCAGTGAACCAAAATTTTAGAAAATTTTCACACAAAAAAGAACCAAACTAAATGATGAATGGCATGACAGTTGGTTCTGATGAATGGCATGACAGTTGGTTCGGTAGATGGGGAGAGTGAAGAAAGTGCATTTTGTTATTTATTTATTTATTTTCCTTTAAAAAGTCGTAGATCCAATAGTTAATGAGTTAACCGGTTACCAGTCACTTTCTTCTGAGTGCACCGCTACGTGTCCCTTTAAAACAAGCGAGTGTATCTAGAGTCGTCAAAGAGACTGCTGCTAACAATTTTCTATTATATAACGGGGAAGGACTATCCCAAAACCCAGTTTTCTATTATATAATGGTGTCGTGTTCCATCTTTTTCCAGTATAATTGTCATCTTCCAGATTTGTTTGCCAGCCTGACGATGGAGCAAGAACTTCAATTCCAGGGAACTTCTCTATTAAAATAAAAATGCATGATTTGTCCACGTCCCAGTCACTGACGTAACTGATATTGCCGGCCGGACAAAATTGGATAGAAGAAAGTCCGTATACTTTATTGCAGTTTGAACAATGTTAAGCGATCAGTTATTCGTATGCACTGGAAGGAAAGATAAGAAATGTTTGACTTGGGGTGATTTATAGTTATCGTCTGTGACTATTTCGTTCGATAATTTTCATCTTTATGATTTTGAAGCTTCTCCGTTTTATCAAGCTATTATATAAAACTTATCACATAAAGAATCCAAAGAATGGAATTTGCGGTGTTTCAAATGCGAGGATACAAGCGACTTGTGCCTCTGTTTATTAAAGTTATATTTGTTAGGGGAGAGTGATAGAAAGAATAAATGGTCATCCATCCATCTATTTGTTTGGTTACAAAATAAAATAAAGATGAAAATTGATCTATTCAAAATTGAAAGCATTAAACATTAAAAAGAATGAAAGAATTTAATAAACCCATTCGTCAAAACTAGGAGGATTGGAGATTATATATGAAAAGGCCTAAAAAACATAGAAAAATACAATACGCAGTTATGGGGCATAGAGCTCCCGATGGAATAATAAAACAGCTGCATCCAATACCATTGGGAAAATTTAACAAAGTAAAAGGAATAAAGGAACCTCTTACACCAAGGTTAGCCAAGAAATCTGCACACGTATTCCCCTCCTTGTGAACATGTTGAATACGCAATACCCAGTAACAATAAAGTAATTAGACAATCCGTAAGAAAACATCAGAAGCAAGAGAAGAACGGGTCCGATCCTGGATCATCTTGACCACGGACGAAGAGTCACATTCCAAAATAATATGCATGGATCCCTGATTCCAAACCATATTGAAACCATGTAAACCTGCCCAAAGCTCAGCTTTAACAGCATAGCATGCAGTTTCATGTACTACAAAAATAACCAACCACCCAAGCACCAGTTGAATTCGAAGTAATCCCTTCTGCTCCTGCAGCCCAGGATTTTTTTTTTTTTTTTTTTTATCTTCAAGGTATCCTAAGTCCAAAAATCTAGATTAATCCCTTGTTTTATCGATGTGTAAGGTGGGAACAATTATCCAAAAAAAAATTACTTATAAAAAAATTTAAATTCAAGAACATTTATTTAACTATTAGAGCTTTCTAATCAGGTCAAGCTTCTTGAGTGCGGGCGCAAGATTACTTTCACTAGCACAACCTGTGTTGAGCTTACAAATTCTCGTTTTGCTCGGGTTGACTTTTTGGACAGAAGCCCCACAAAACATATCAGGGCATCTCATAACAAGACGAATCCGATATCCACAGAATAGAAGCCTCCACGAACAGAACCACATCATCAGCAAAAATAAATCGAAAATAAAGAGGCTAGTATAACCAGCCCCTGTTACTCATAGCTTCCTAAATAATATGCGCCAACCACTCCATGCACAAAACAAATATGCAGAGAGAAAGAGGCCCCCCTGAGGAATTCGTCTACTAAATCTTATTTTTGTTGTTAGATAATCAACACTGTACAATGGATAAATGTAATTTAAAAAATTTAATTATAATGATTTTTTAAAATTAATTTTAATTCTAAAATAAATCTTTATAATGTATAGTTTTAAGCATTTCAGTTAACGATTAACATGTTCATATAAAAACTAATAAAGAAGATAGAGATAATAGATGAAAGATATGATTTGTTCAAAAATTAATAATTAAGAGTCCAAATATTCTAAATTGATAATATAAATCTTAAATTATCATAATCAAATAATTTGAGGGTATTGTTTAGCAATAAACTTTTGTCTGCAAATCAAAATTAGGCATTCAAATGCTCTATACAATAGAATTGGAAAGTTACCGCGAAAAATTTGTGGAGGTACAAAGAAGGGAAAAACAAAAGAAGGGTAAGGGTGAAAATGTAATAACAATGACATAGAAGATTAAAAAAAATACAAAAAGTGAAAGAAAGGGACTCTCCTTGGTGATTTAGAAAGTTACGGGAAAAAAAAAGTGAAAGCATTGAGAAATTTTTTTTAAAAAAAGTGAGAAAGTAATTATTGGGTAAAAAAAAAAAAAGAAGAAAGAAATCAGGGCGCATGAGCATTAAATGCTTTTCGTTGACAAAAACGAGCATAAAATGAGTAAAACGAAACCGAAAAAAGGAGGGTACAACTCTAACTTGACAACAACACTAAGTGGCAAAGAAGTAATTACGTATAAAATCAAAGGGCGTGAATTAAAATACAAAAGAAGAAAGATAAACAAATAAAAAAATAATGCAAGAAATGGCACAAATGAAATGTGCACATAGAGCCACGCAGACAAAGCTAAGAATGGACGGCTGAGAAGGGGTAAAAATTGAAGCATAGTGGACATGAATCAGGGTTCACGTTGAACTGTGGAATGGTGAACAGACTATAAACAGCCAGAACCCAAGTCTTTGTAATTTTTCCCAATCTTTAGTAACTCCTTTAGCAGCTTCATTGGGCTTTTGGACTTGAACATTTTTAGAATTTACATTCCGCCCTGTTGCCCCTGCATCTAGAGCCCCGGCCTCCACGAGATCCAGCAGAAACCCTATCATAAATTTGCACTGAAGTAGGGATCTTGGTACTATATATTGTCCTTCGTAGGATTCTGCTACGTAATTACTGCTTCATCATCAAGGACAACAAACCGTTATTTCCTCAATTCTTCTGCAATTTTTTCCTCGATATCCCTAAAAATATCTGATACAATAGCATCCCTAACATGGGAAAAAAAATTTATCTTTCGGATCAAGTCTCCTTTATTACGCCTCTTTATTTTCGTTTGACTAACACATAGGATTGAAACTATCCCAAACTTCTTGTCAGACTGGTTCTACCGCCGACGGTGAGGAATCAGACCAACTCAAATCAGCACCCTCATTGTTCATCGTAGCTTTTACTTGAAAACCAAAGCAAATAAGATGAAGCCCCTTACAAACAATTTTATATATGCACTCGTCTATGCACAAATTCTAGTAAAATTACCTAGAGAAACATCCAACGTGTCTTCATCTACTTTAAGAGTTTTACCAATACGCCATAATGTATTCGTGTCATAATACTCAATCGCCAAATTTGGTATACGTACCCAAATTGCCAGTTTCTGATATGGGGTTGATTCAGGATCAAAATTAGGGCACAATTATTGCAAAAGAACATAATGATCAACAATCATTCATGGCCCCTCAAAGAGAGCAAGCTCATTATCCTTCTCATCAGAAAAATTTCACAACATAAAAGTCATTCCCCAAATCTATATATCACTATAACAATCCAGATTCGATATAGTGCATTAACTAGGGAATTTGTAAACTAGTTTTCTACCCCATACCTTGATAATCAAACTATATATCTGCCTAAACAGTCCAGATTTGATATAGTTTATTAACATCTAGATTCGCAATATTAGTTTTCTCCTAATGCGAATCTTTTCATAGAGAGAGAGAAAAAAGTAGGACATTCCGAATCATCATCGTCAGAGATGAGATCTTCCTCTTCCATCATCACTGGGCTTGCTGAAATATGGGAACCAATTTTACTAGTTACAGCATCCTTATAGGACGTAGTCACCTTAGGAGTTTCGACAACCATATCCACCTCTTCAACGACAACTAGGGTCTCCTCTTCTCCACCTTTAATTGTCAACTTTCGCCTTCTTATTACCTATATAAACCTGGTCTAGTTCTTCTAAGTATTTGCCACGAAACTCACACTCGTTCATGTCGAGAGAGCAGACCTGAAGTTAACAATATCTTGATATTTCTAGACTGTTGGTTTAAGGTAAAAAAAATTTGTATTCTCTATGTTTTGAATAGCCTAGTTTCGTACCTAACGGATTCAACTTTCCTTCTACGTACCATGATACCATCCCCCTCTATTCATAGAGTGGGTGCCGCAACAAGCACCGGTGGCTGTTTCTTTTGATAACAACAAAAAGAAAAAAGAAAATAAGTGAATAAAGTTGCAAGGTGATTGATAAACTGTAAGACGTGATTGATTACGAACTAGGTTTTTCTCCCATTATAATTTGGATTCAATAAACAGGTAAGCAGAATCCTATGGCTAATATTGTATTCTTAATATTGGTACAAAATCCTTGCATATATTGTTGCCAACGTAATTTATGCTATTTTACATGTGCAATTAAATAGAATATACTAGGAGTTGCCACGCCTTACGTTGCTACCAGATATAATAAAATTATTTCAAATTTTTATAATTTTAAAATTAAAATTTCGTATTTAATTATTATTTTTTATGTTTTTCATAAATTTTTTACTTAAAAAAACATGATTTATTTTTCTTTATACATTGATTCTTAAATAAAAACTTATAATAATATACACTAAAATATTAATCCAAAATTAAAAAAATTCTTTAAATATATATATTTTTATAAGATGGTATCCAAAAAATAAAGCTACAATTAATATATAAACTTATATAAAAATTACCAAATAAAAAAATAAATTTTTATTCTTATCTAATGCTGATGAAAAGAATATTTTTGAAAATATATGTATTTGATTTATATATATTTAATTACAAAATAATCGAAATGTTAGCATAAAAAACTTTTGAATGATTTAATGATTCTTTTAAAAAATCATTTCAACAATTTTATTTCAAAGAAATTGGTTTTATGATATTAAAAAAAATAATTGCAAATGCTTGGTGTTATATGTGTAGATGCATAATGAATTTTTAGTAAAATCAATTATTTTTTTTATAGATCATCACTATATTTAATAGGTTGAAAGTGTAAAAAAAAATTATATGAAACATATCATAGATACATTTCACCCTTGTCGTATTGTATGAGAAACACACATGAAAAAGCTTCCATCATTTTTTTCCCACAAATCCATAAAAAAAAAAAAAAAAAAGGTAGAAATTAGGCCTATACACACGTTGGGGCATGGTTCTAGGGCTGACAAACTAGACTCACCAAACTAGACTCACCAAAAAAAAGAAAAAAACGAACTATGGTTCCCCTAAAACGTCTTTGAAAATCGAGATCTTAATTTTTGATCTCTTCAAACCCAAGTTCAGCTCTTTTTTTTTTTTTTTATCTAAAGCCACCTTAAAATCATAAAAATAGCATTATTAAACTTGTTTAGAGGTTTAAAAGTCATTTTAATGCAAACAAAACACGTAAAAGTTCAAACTAAAATTAAAAAAAAAAATCAAAATACTTTCAATTCCTAATCTATCTTTTCCTATTTATTTCAAGACTTGTGACCACCACAAACAAATTTTATTTTTCAAAACAAACAAAATGATGGAGAGTTTGACGGTTGAGGTGGTCTTAATAGACGGTCTATTATTGGAAACAAAATTGTCAACGATCACTATAGACAATTGCAACAAAAATGATGGTATGATTCAAAAACTTGTTAGTAAACTCGGGTGGTCATTGCTTGCTTAATGCAAATCATTTACATATGAGATGTTGTGAGCATATTTTGAATCTAATTGTGAAAGATGGATTGCAAATGATAGAGAATAGTATCGAAAATATTCGAGATAGTGTTACTTAGTGGTTAGCCACTCTATCTAGGGTTGAAAATTTTGATGATATGGTCCGTCAATTAAGAATCGGTGGTGGTAAAAAATTATATCGTGATTGTAAAATCCGATGGAACATAACATTTTTAATGCTTCAAACAGACCTTGGAATTCAAAGATGTATTTCCTATATTGAAACTTATAGAGAAAAAATATTCTACCTTGCCTTCGAAGAAGATTAGATTATGGTAAGGAAAGTTTGTGAGAAGCTTAAGTTGTTTTTTGATGCAACCAAATCTTTTTCAGCCACTAAATATCCCACTTTAAATTCTTACTTTTTCATAATTTGTGAGATTAAGGAGGCTTTGGATAAGTGGATGTTAGAATCCGATAATGAAGTTTTTCTTAAAATGACAAAAAACATGTATCAAAAGTTCAATAAATATTGAAGCGATGTGCATTTGGTCATGGCCGTGGCGATTGTTTTGGATCCTAGGTATAAGATGAAAGCGATAGAGTGTTTTTTTTAAAGATTTTTTTATGATGAATATGCATGTGATCATGTTAAAAGGGTGAAAAAATCATCTCATGATTTACTTAATGAGTATAAGGATAGGTCTATTGTTGATTCACCTATCTCTACTTATGGCACATTGACCTCATCCACTAATATATTGGAAAATAATAGTTTTGGAGAGGAACGGAGTAGTCTTGCAAGATTAGTTGAGATTCTTAGTGTTGAGTCATCCGAAACACATATAAAATCCGAATTGGATAATTATTTA